TTAGCAGTTCGAAAGCATGTAAAAAATGCAAGTAGAAAAACAGGAACCACCTTCGGTGGGAAGGTAACAGCATTCCATGTGCCTTCTGCATTTAGTCATGCCGGCCACATGATCATGGAGACATCTGCACACAGTGCTGGCTCTTTGGCTTTGAAATGTAAATGAGCACCGCCCCCTAGAGTTGGGAACAACTAGTACATATGTGCAAGGAGAACCTTTACCTTTATATATACATTTCTCTCTCAAGCTCTCCTCCGAAGACTTTACTTCTCAGTCTTGTCATCTACTTTGTTGACTTTCGCTGTATCTTGTCCAGCTTTTCTGAATCTTTCTTCAAATGTGTCCAGAATCAGACACAGTACTTGAGGTGGAATTTGACCAATAGAAAATAAAATGGAATTATTACTTCCCCAAACTTGAAACGGAACTTCTGTTGATGTAACCTGAAACTAATTGGCCCCATCACACTGCTAGTTCATATTCAGTTTATAATCATAATACATATCCAAAAAATATTTCTACTGAGCCAGATATTCCAATACTATGCTCTCCCACCCCCCTCTCCTGTGTGAAAAAGCATTTGTCTTGGACACATTCTATTATGCTAAGCCTATTTCTCTAACTTCTCAAGATCATCTTGAATTTCCTCAGGCTCCTGCTCTACTCAGTTTTTGGTCATTGGGGGTTGAATAAGTCTTCCCTTCATCTCTGAAAAGTTGAAGAGTGTGAAATTCAGGGCTGAACTTTGTGGCACTTTAATCCATGCTTCATTTCAGTTTGATGAGGAAGTATTAATGAGGGACCATTTTGAACACAATTTTTAAGTTGCCTGTGCATCCCCTGTTAAACCACCCAGCCCATGCTTAACAAGCTTGCTAATCAGAATTTTACAGACAACAATGTCAAATGCTTTGCTGAAATAAAGACATATTATTTCACAATGTGCTGCTATTTCAAAAGAGGGAGAAGATTAGCCTGGTGAGGCTTGTTCTGGAGAAAGCAATGCTGACTGCTAATCATGGTGGCATTATTTGGAAAGTGGGCATTGATTAATTGTTTTGTCACTTTCTGTAGAAACTTTGCAGGTGTTGAAGTCAGCTTGGTCAGTCTGTGATTCCCAGGTCTTTCTTTCCACCTTTTCACATGCCCACCTCCACTCATTTGGCATCTGTTCTCCAGGATATCTCAAACACTGTACCTAGAGTAGTGTTTTTTCAATCTTGGCACTTTAAGGTATTTGGACTTCAACTCCCAGAATTTTGG